ATAAAACCTGAGCTTGATGAGCCCCATGAGCCCAGAAGCCCAATGAGCCCCCGAAGCCCTAGGTTTGACCCCCATGAGTTCTATGGGCCGCATGGGCCCTGTGAATATCATGAGCCCTATTTGCCAAATGAGGCCTATGAGGCGCATGAGCTCCATGAGCCCTATTAGCCCCATCAGCTCCATGAGCCCTAGGAGCCCCATTCGCCCTACGAGCCCTCTGGCCCATATGAGCCCTGCGGATCCTACGAGCCCTAGAAAAGCCCTATGGGCCCTATGAGCCACGCGGGCCCTCGGAGCCAATGGGCATATTAGCCCTATGAGCCCTATGCATGGGCCATATGAGCCCTATGAGCCTATAAGCCCTATGGGTCCTATGAGCCCTATAAGCCCGATGAGCCCTCGGAGCCCTACGAGCTCATGTTCCATTTGAGCCCTGAGCCCTATGGGCCCTATGGGCCCCGTGAGCCATATATGAGGCCTTTGAGGCCTTTCAGCCCTATGAACCTCGCGAGCCCTGTGCAAAGGTCCCATGAGCCCCGGGCAAGAGAGGTGGCCGACTGGTTGCCGACAGGCCGAGCGATGTCCGATCTTAATCCGCACGGAACTCAAGATCGGCTGCAAAACAGCGGCGAGAAGCGGAACTGGATACGCGTTGCCAGTCGCACAAGCAACATGGGCATCACTCGTGAAAGAACGCAGGCTCTGCAAGGAAAACCCCTGCAGGGTGAGACGCTCACCTGCGCTCAAATAGCGGCAGACTTCGCGATGATTATGAGCCTTCGCTGCGCCCCCAGCCTTGAGCAGGAAAATATGCCGATTGCTCCTCGTCAGTGTCATGCACACCTCAATGTTGACGGGGTCTTTGCAAACCCTGTTGTCACCTCTGTCCAAACAGAAGCAACAGATATCGGACTCCACATATTTGCCTTGAATGACTCCAGCAATAATGCGCTTCTCATAGTTTGCCAAATTCCGACGCATACTGGCAGTAAGGCTCTCCCGGGGAGTGACGGGCAAGGAATATGATATAAAATCCTGGTCGGGGTTGCAGCGCAAACAAACGATGGGCCCGATTTTCGGCCCACCCCCTCCGAAACCCAAACGGGTCTGACCCCAGGGCGATGGGAACGGGTATAGTTTAACCCATGGGTCCTTCAGAGGCCTCGGCCCGAAAGGAGCTAGCGGCTCAGGGATAGGGCCTGCTGCTACTCGAAGCCCCCGAAGAAACACTCGCGAGCGCTCCTGGGGGACCCCGTAGTCTTTGGCGGAGAGGACGACGTAGTCCCAGAAAAACTCTCGCACTTCCACCTTCAACACATTGATGATCTGCTCAATGAAACTTTCGGATGCGCCCGCCTTGCCCAGGATTCCTCACGGGGGTATAAGGGGGGCGGCGTCAAAGCCGATTCTTTTTCTCAGCGAATCAAGTTTCCCGTTGGGGAACCCCCAACCAACCGAATCGTATGTTTTCTCCGAGAGGGCCTCTTAAAGCACACGTGGGGCACCCAGGATCCTTTGACATTCTCCAGCACGACGAAGAGAAGATGCCCGTCTTTGATTAGTTCGACAGCCCAGCACACGACGCGGCAGTAGATGTCCGATCGCGGGTCCTCGGAAACGGCTCGGAGGCTACAGCTGCACTGGGCCCCCCCCCGCCCGGGCCAAAGCCCCGGGGGGAGAGAGGAGGGGCGCGTGGTAGAGGAAGAGGAGTGGGAGGAGGAGTAGGAGCAGGAACAGGAGTAAGAGGAGGAGGAGGAGGAGGAGGAGGAGGAGGAGGAGGAGGAGGAGGAGGAGGAGGAGGGGCTGCAGGAAGAGGAGGAGGAGGAGGAGGAGGAGGAGGAGGAGGAGGAGGAGGGGGAGGAGAAGGAGGAGGAGGAGGCGGAAGAGGAGGAGGAGGTGATATGCGTGGTCCCACGGGCCCAACACACGCAACGATGTCTCCCTCCTGCCTCCTCCCTCCGAGGAGGAAAGGTGTGGAGGAGGAAAAGGATAATGAGGAGGATGGGGAGGGGCAGGAGGCTTACCGAAATATTAGGGGCCGAGCGCTCCTCCCTGCCCTTGCGCGGCCCCTGGGGCGACCACGGGGGGCACGGGGGCCCGGCGACCAGGCCGTCGCAGGGTCCCACGATCTGATGCAGCGGGACTTTCATGAGGTCACCGTGCTCCTTGCCCCCATCGCCCCCGTCGCGATGAGGGCGGGGGGGGGCGTGAAAAGGAAGGGGGAAGGGGCGGCAGGAACGGGGGGAGTGAACGGGGGCAGGGGGGAGGGGGGGCAGCGGCAGGGGCAGGGAGGAGAAGGGCAGGCGGGGTAGAGGGGGGAGGTGTGTTCGACCCTGATAGTCGCGTGGACCTTGCCCAACCGAGCGACTCCATGGCCCAGGTGGTCCGCGAGAACTGCCTTCAGCGAAAGGGGAGGGATCAATCGTTGTTCGCAGCTATCGCCTTTCCCCTGGTCATAATCAGAGTGAGGGGGCCGAACGGTCTTGCACTGTCGTTGCGGCGAGTGGCCGAAGTGAGGATCCGCAATGAGGATTATGTTTGTTGTCCTCGTCCCGGCGGGCGGGTCGCGGCCCGAGTGGGTTGCGGCGCCGGCGGGCCGCGGCGCGCGTCGGTCGCGGGCGGGTCGCGGCGCCGATGGGTCGCGGGTGGGTCGCGACGCGGTTGAGTCATTCGGCCCCGATCGGAAGTGAATCGTTCGGTCCCCTCGTTTTCGGAAATCCTTCGCTCGGCCCTGTCGGGGCTCGCTCGGGGGCCAGTCACTCCGTCCCCCCAGTGTTCGATCGGAGGCAAGTCGTTCGATCCCCTCTGTCCCTCCGTTTTCGGTCGGAGGGGGGTCGTTCACTCACCCCCGACCGAACGCTGAGGGGGCCGAGCGATTCACCTCCGACCGAAAGCTGAGGGGGCCGAGCGACTCACTTCCACCCACAAATTGACGAGATTGAGCGACTCGCCTCCTCTTTCCTTTAGGCGAGCGTTTCCCCGCCCCCTCCGCCCTACTTCTAGGGGGGGCCGCTTCGTGATCACCTCGAGCGCGGGGCCGCCTCTGGGGGGGCCACTTCACCACGAGCTAATAGGTCGTCGCCCCACGCATCACCATCGCGCGGTGGTGCGAGAGGGCTCGGCGCCAAACGTTTCGATGCTGATAGGTCGTCGCCCCTAGCAACGACCCATTAGCAACGAAACGTCTGGCGCCGATTCCTCCCGCGTCACCCCAAATCATCATCACGCGGTGATGCGGGAGGGCCTTTACTGAAGACCTTTTCGCGCAGGAGGCCTCTGGGGCCTGGCCAGGGCCCTCTGTAACTGCCCCGGGAGCCGTTCGGGACGTCTTGGGGGCCATTTTGGGTTTCTTGAGCCATGGGGGCCCCATGGCCCCCACCGCGAAGATCTTCACTGAAGATATTCGCGGGGCCTCTTGGGCCTGGCCAGGGGCCTCTGTAACTACCCCAGGAGCCCTTCGGGAACCCCAAAAGGCCCAGTCGCAAAGATCTTCAATGCTAACATGTCGCGGCGCCCTTGAACTCCAACTTTGGGGCCCTCTTGGAGCCCCTCGTGGACCCCTCTCGGGGCCCTTCTTGGGGCCCCCCTGGCCCTCGGAAGGCCTTCCCCTCCGACCGAAAGTTGCAGGGGGCCGAGCGACTTGCCTCCTTCCTCCCTCGAAGGCGCGCGTCTCCTCCCTCCCTCCTTCCTCCCTCTGCGCGCCCCTCCAAAGCGGGCGTCTGGCGGGGCCGATGGGTCGCGGGCGGGTCTCGAGGCGGACGGGTCGCGGGCGGGTCGCAGGCGCCGCGCCCGCCCGCCCGCGTCCTCACTCTTATCTCTTATCCTTACGGAGTGCTACGTATTTGTCCTCTGCCTCCCTCTTTTCGTCCTCCTCCCCCTCCACTTCCTCTTCCTCCTCCTCCTCTTCCTCCTCCTCCTGATCCGTCTCCAAATCCCACCGTGTCACCTCCCCCCCCTCGTCTTTCTTCCTCGTTTCACCTCATACACCTGGTTGGGGGAGGCCCTCTTGTTCGGGCCTCGTGCGCTGTCTCGAGGTCGTATGCGTACCGAGCCTCATATTCGACCCCGATCTTCTCAAGAGCGTGACCGCATCCGTCGATGCCGACGCACGGCATCGCCACAATGATGGGGCGCGCGAGCTTTCTCTTGCTGAGCTCTGTAGCAGCCTGCAGGGCTAGTGAAACGCAGATCGCTGATGGCACTGAAAATGTTTGTGCATGTGGTTTTGTTTGTTGCGGTGCCTGTCCCATATTCATCTGCGGCTCGGGGGTCAATCTGATGATCGACTCGACCTTGTCTTCCCAAGTGGGGCCGGCGTGGCTGATGCGTGCGCGCGGGGAGGGTGGCATCTTGCTGGGGAGCGAACGGCGCGGCAGCCTGCAAACGTCCAAGCCAAACGCTATGACGTTCAATGCTGCAAGTGTAATCTCCAGCCCGTCATCCACCTGCCTGCCTCCGCCTCCTCTTACCTCCCCTCCTCCTCCTCCTCCTCCTCCTCCTCCTCCTCCTCCTTCTCCCCCTCCTCCCCCATCCTCCTCCTGTGCCTCCTCCTCCCTCCCCCTCCTCCTCCTCCTCGTCCTCCTCCTCCCTCCTCCTGTTCGTCCCCCTCATCTTCCTCCTCCTCATCCTCCTCATCATCATCGTCATCATCATCAACATCATCATTAGCATCATCATCAGCATCACCATCTTCATCATCATTATCATCATCATCGTCGTCGTCTTCGTCGTCGTCGTCAGTATCATCATCATCATCATCATCATCATCATCATCGTCATCATCATCATCATCATCAACATCAGCATCAGCATCATCATCATCATCACCATCCTCATCCTCATCCTCATCATCATCAGCATCATCATCATCATCCCCCTCCCCCTCCCCCTCCTCCTTCTCCCCCTCCTCCTTCTCCTTCTCATCCTCCTCCTGCTCCTACTCCTACTCCTACTCCTGCTCCTGCTCCTATTCCTACTCCTTCCCCTCCTCTTCCTTCCCCTCCTCCCCCCTTGTGTTCTTTCATTCTCCCCCTGTTCCTCCTCTTTCTCCTCTTTCTCCTCCTCCTCCTCCTCCTCCTCCTCCTCCTCCTCCTCCTCTCCATTCTCCCGCTCCTCCTTTTCCTGCACCTCCTGCTCCTGCTGCGCCTCCTCTCCCTCCCCCTCCTCCTTCTCGGCCATCGGTTTCACGCCCTCCGCCCCCCCCCCCTCCTCGCCCTTTTCCCCGAGCGCGGAGGGGGGGGTTCATTTGCATTCCGTTGCATTCCATTTCACTCGGCCTCCTCCTCCTCCTCCTTTTCCTCCTCTTCCTCCTCCTCCCCCTCCTCTTCCTCCTGATCCTCCGTCTCCTCCTCATGTTCCTTCTCCCCCTTCCTCATTGCCGCCGCCGCTCAGGAGGGCGAAGCTGGGCTTTCCACCCGGGGCGTTAAATCGGTTCGCGAGCGCCTCTGCAAACGGGATGCGGCCTCAAGTCCCTGCAGCGTCAGCGAGGCGAGTCGCGCCATCATACTCAGCATGTGATCCTCGGGACGTGGGGGGGTCTGGGTTTTCGGCCTCGAGCGCTTCTCAGGGGAAAGTCCACAGGGTTCTGCCTTCCTCTTCCGCTGCGGCGTCGCATCTGCTGCAGGAGACGCGTCCATGTCGGCCTCGGGGCCGTCGGGACCGCCGAAGCAAGTTGAGAATGCCTCGAGAGCAAAGGCTGCAGTCACCTCTCTCTCCCTCTCTCCTTCTCTCCGCCCCCCGTCCAATCCCCCCCCGTCGCCCTTCTTTCCCCCTTTCTTCCCTTCGTTCCTGCATGTCCATGCCCCGTATGTCCGCGCCCGTCCCCCCCCCCATGCTGGCCGCGGGAGGCACGCGGCCGCCTCTGCCGCCGAGACGCAAGGCGAGCTCGGGGGGGATGGCGGGGCACGCGTGCGGACAGGGCAACGGGGCGAAGGCTGCATTGGTCTAAACTCCCGGGGGCGGGGGGCGGGGCGCCATGCCCCCCCTGGGGGAGGGGGCCGTACAGACGTCGGGGACACATGCCGGACATATGCCGGACATGTGCCGGACATATGCCGGACATGTGCCGGACATGTGCCGGACATATGCCGGACATATGCCGTACAGATACGACATGTCCGGCACATGTCCGGCATATGTCCGGCATATGTCCGGCAGATGTCCGGCATATGTCCGGCATATGTCCGGCATATGTCCGGCATATGTCCGACGCCGTGCCCCCGGAGGGTTTGTCGGCACCGGGGCGACAGGGGGCCCGGGGGACGGCGGGTCGGGGGTCGATGAAGGGGAGCATGGAGGATGAGGAGAAGGAAAAGGAACGCGATGGAATGTTGATCGGGGGAGGACGAGGATGAGGAGGAGGAGCAGGAGGAGGATGAGGAGGAGCAAGAGGAGGAGGAGGGGGAGAAGCAGGAGGAGGAGGAGGAGGGGCAGGAGGAGGAGGAGGAGGAGGAGGGTGTTCAGGAGGAGGAGGAGGGAGGACGGGAGGAGGAGGAGGAGAACGAGAGAGGAGGAGGCGGAGGAGGAGGAGGAGGAAGAGTGGGGGGAGCGGGGAGGAGAGGAGGAGGAGGAGGAGGAGCAGGAGGCAGAGGAGGAGGCGGAGGAGGAGATGGAGGGGAGAAGAGGAGGAGGAGGAGGAGAGGAGGGAGGAGGAAGGAGGAGGACGCTGAGGAGGCAAGAGGAGGCAAAAGGAGGAGGAGGAGGAGGAGATGGAGGAGGAGGAAGAGGAGGAGGAGGAGGAGGAGGAGGAGGAGGAGGAGGAGGACCCCTTATGAGCCCTATGCGCCCGAGGATTTCCATGAACCCTCTAAGCCCCACGAGCCTTATGAGCTTTAGAAACCCTATCAGCCCTATGAGCCCTGTGCACCTTCTGAGACCTTATGAGCCCTATGAGTCCGATGTGCCCCATGAGCCCTATGAGCCCGATGACCCCTACGAGACCTATGAGCCGCATGAGCCCTGCGAGCTTGATGAGCCCCATGCGCCCCATGAGCCCTGTGAGGCCCATTAGCTCTATGAGCCCTATACCAGCCCTGTCAGCCCGATGAGCCCCATGAGCCTTATGAGCCCGATGTTTCCTATGAGCATTAGGAGCCCTATGAACCCTATGAGCCCTATGAGGCACATGAGCCCTATGAGCCCTATGAGCATG